TATCACACCCATATCACATGATTACACCAAAAATTTAACTTATCAACCAAAACGATAACCCAAGTGATGTATAAAGGTGATTATCACACACATATCACATGATTATCACACCTATATCACATGATTACACTAAAATTTTAACTTATTAACCAAAATGATAACTCAAGTGATGTATAACGGTGATTATCACACCCCTATCACATGATTATCACATTCATATTACATGATTATCACACCCATATCACATAATTACTCCAAAAATTTAACTTATCAACCAAAATGATAACCCAAGTGATGTATAACGGTGATTATGACACCCCTATCACATGATTATCACACCCATATCACATGATTATCACACATAGTATAATTCTAACCTATCGAAACCATTCGAAATCGTTGTGATAATGTCTAACATAACCAATTGAAACCATGATCAAATCGAGTGACATTAATATCACAACTAATCGATTAAAAACTTGTTCAAAACGAGTAATTTTGAAAGATACCTTGAATAAACTTCTTCTTGTTGCCCGCTTGTTGCATGCAATGACTTCTCGATTAGGGTTCTTGGTCGATTAGGGTTGTTTGTTCTTGGTCGATCGCCGTCGATCAAGGTTTGCTTCGGTCGGTTGTTTTGTGATTTGAAGTTATGAGTCTCTTTGAATTCTTAACCGTTTACTAGATAATGATAAGGTTAATGATAATAATGATCGTGTTTAAAAGATTTGATGATATCATTTACATTATTATCCTTTTAATTTTAATTTTAATTTTTTTTGAATCTTTTTCAATTTCTATTTTAAAAATCTTTTAATTTTATTTTTTTATCACAATATGAGGTTATTGGGTTGTTCTCGCATTCTCGTAAATCACATGGGTTCTCGTTTGAACTTTTCCATATATATATGGTTGGGTTAACGTGTGACCAATGGTTTTTCGTGAGACCCGTAGGACCAATTTATGTTCATTGATCAACTTTATAAGTTAATGGTCTAAGTTGTACGATGACAATTTTGTGATTATTGAGAATTCTCGTGGCGTTTATGAATATTCAGATTGTTTGACTGTAGATCTAATGCAATGGTTGAGACTTGGGCTTACGGGTCTTACGAAAATCCCTTGGTCTCACATGATCCCAAGTATATATATATATATTGAAGTTATGGTAAGAAGCATTCACCACTCTTTGATCAATCTTAATTGAAGGTCTGTCAACACTAATGAGGTGTATCCAGATCAATTTCTTTCTAAAGCACAATTCATAGATGAACATGAGTCTAAACATGATCAAGAGTTCAGATTTCTTCTTATATTTTTTCTTCTCACACGATCCTTCGTCTATATATATATAATATTATTTGGATGGGTAATTGTGGATGTTTTACTACCCTTCTTTAGACCCAAAAACGACCAAATGGATAAAAAGTGAGCCTAAAAATAGTGAGATGGTTGAATAAAATATGATTGATTTTGAAGAAATAATGAATAATAATTTGTTTTTGGCTTTTTCATGTATAATGTAAGTAGACAAGTACTTAAAAAGAAAAGCAATGCATTTAATGATAATGAGGGGTGTTGGACAAAAAATGCAATGTCAAGAATCTTTTAAATATGGTGGGTGGGTTTTGGCATTTGCGTCAATAAAACAAAACCAAAATCTTAATTTATGATTTTTCATTTGTTTGTTTCAACCAATATTCCATGGTCAAAAATACCACTACCTAACCCGACACATAAACCAAACCTCACCATCTATGTTTTTTGAAGACTCAGATAAAATCCCTATTATTAATATATAATATCTCTCTTTTACAGAAAATAAAAGAAAAAGAAAAAACATGATTGGTGATAATCATAAGAAATTACTGTTTAAAAATCGTTTATTGTCAAATTTATTGTGGTGCTAACAAATATATGGTTTCAATTTTTTACCTAATTTAGCTGGACTCATTCTTTTCTTTCGCAATTCGCAATCGCATTGAGTGATTGATAATCTTTTAAGTAAAAACTTGGTTAACTTTTAAAAAACAAAAGTCCAATACAGGCCCAAATGTCCAAACACTTGCGTCCAAATTAGAGATCACAAATGGGCCCGACTCCGTGCCGGGACCTGGACCGGCCTGACGGTTTTTAACCGGTTACAATTTTTAAGAATTTTCAAAAATCTCAAAAGATCGTAACTATAAAAACATCTATTACACTCTTGTAAGAAAAATATTTAATTTTTTAAAAATGTGTTTAAATGATCCAATTAGGGATTTTAAAGGGTATTTCAATAAGATATTCTCAAAAGAAGAAAAAACACTGCTTTTTGTACATTCAAAATTGTTTTTTGGAAAAAAAAAAGGTTAGGACTCAAGCTGAGCCTGGAACCGATTCTTGTAACCGGTTATGATTATAAATAACCTTAACCGGGCCTTGGGTTTGGTTACGAAAATATAGTGTTTGAAACTGGGATCGATTTTTGGGCATCTATGATTCTAATTTTGCACAACTTTACCTAGAAGAAATCTATTTTCAGATTGGCGGTGACGCATCTCACTGTATGTATTCCAGTTGAATATGAGGCTCTTTCCATTACATTCAGCTTTAACTAGAACATCATTGGCATTTTGGTTATAGAAGGACTTTCTTGGAACTCAATTATAAAGACTCGAGATGGATTGAGTGGACAACACCTACCAACAATAATGACGGATTTAGCATATTTAAAATCTCATAAATTTTAAATTTTAGATAAAGACAATTATTTTTTATATATATAAAATGCAACAAATAAACTCACCCACTACCTCCATAAAAAAAAAAAAAAAACCTAAATCCTCACAACACTTTTATCTCTACTCTTTTAAGATTATGGGAGAAGAGGCCAGGTAATTATATAAACAACCGCTCTATTCTTTTAAGGTAGCCCCCGACCAGGGGACCCTACCTTCACCATATTGGGTTCGTTTTTTTTTCTTTACCATTTTCAGGAAACTGAATCATGGTTGAATAAAAAAAGCCACTGTACAGTAAACTAATATTGCTATGAAGAAAGAATATTCTAGAATTACTGCTAAATACACACAGGGAAAGAAGAAACTAACCCAGAGGAGGAACAAAAATCCCATCAGATAAGAGGTTCAGAAAGCTCCATTTCATTTGAACCCACTGGCTGCATATGGGACACGCGTGGCTGAGACCCAACAGAATTTAATCCGAGCCACTGCCAAGGCCAGCATACGTATCTAGGCCCCCTTTCACCACTAGAAGTTTCGCGGGTATCATGTTCTTCAAGTTGACGAGTCAGCTCTTCCACCCTATCCCTCAAACGAGTAGCCCTCGAGTCTGCTAATCTCAATGATCTCTCAGCTGCATCTCTAGCTGCCATGGCAGCACCTGCTATTTCCTCTTTGAATTTCAGCTTCTTCTCTGACTCCATCACAGCTTGTTTCGCCTCATCCAGTTCCTGGCGCACCATAGATAACTGCAGAAATGGGAAAAGAAGACATGCTAATAAGCGTAGGAATGGAGGATTTTCCAAGTGCCAGAATAACCCTTGGGGTAGCTGCTCTCCATTGATCATCATTTCGTGCCCCTCAGGGCCACTGGAGGTTTTCCCAACTGTTAACTTCAGGGACCCATTTAATCGAGTTGCGTGCAAGATGGCTCGGACAACCACAATTATAAAAAAAGGTCTTTTAAGTTTTCCACTTTGTGCCCAAATAATAGAGGACTACCATTTATTCTCTTTGTTCATCTAATCCAAGCCTTTTAAGTGATTTGGACACCTAATTACTCATTGGATGTTTGCACGTGCTCTTCAGATCCTTCCCTCCTCCACCCTCAACCCCTTACAACCTAAACTTGTATTACAATTTCCGTCAATCGGTTCGTTTTTTGATGAATATCATGACTAAGTTTGACGGACAATAATATTTACATTTGGTACTTAAAAGAACTTTCACTAGTAATGTTCTAACATCAGCATATCAGTACTCAAAAGATGCAACTTTTTTATTCTGTTGAACATCACTTCAAAGGGCATATATAAATGGGGTTAATTCCATTAGGGATCTAGATAGTTTTATATGTACTTGTAATCTAGTTTAGAGAACCATAAATAAGACCAGAGGAAGGATTTGCATGAAAATGACATCCCAACGTCTATGTTTGACATCCATAAGAATTTAGCATAGGTCTAGATATTATTAGCTATAGGAAGCATAGTATATCTCAAGTGTTCCTGCAGCATTATTCCAAACCAGGGTATCACAAATAGGCTCCTAGGTTATAAAATGCATTTTTAGGAACACTTGAGGGGAACAACAAAAGAAGGCTTTTAAAGAGGATGGTGCTAGTTTTCCCAGATCTTATGCACAGTCAGATCAGAGATAGACCTCCAAATATTAATTAAAAATAATAACAGCATATAGATTGATTTCACAATCTAGAAGGTATAACTTACATCATTGGATGTTTATTCAACTTCCATATATCTGAAGATGATAACGGTAATCAATATAAAGAGAATTAGGAACAGGGCAAAGAGGACCACTTCAATGCCACACCAATCAGGTCAGCATCTATGTGACATACCTGTGCCATATATTCTTGTTCTATCGCCCTGCCAGCCTCGGCTTCTTGCTGTGCTGCCACTTTCCATCTTGTAATCTCTTCTTCGGCTGCAGCAATGTCCATCATAAGCCCTTCAACCTAGACCACGTGCAGGTGAACATACAGCATGATCAATGGGCTCCATTGAGAACAAGAGTACTGCAATTTGCTTATTGCTCTTGCATGCTAGAAATGATTAACCAACAACTGAATGGAAGAGCACGCACTATGTAGCATCAAATTTCAGACGAAAACTTCATATCTGAAAGCTTTTCACGCAAACATACAACAAAAGAAGTACAATAATAAGTATGATAACTTACATTTTCATTGGCCACCCTCTCCTTGTCTTTAAGTTTCTCTACCTGTTCTTTTCTCTGCATAAGTTCCTTCGCTTGAGCTTCTGCATTTTCCTTAAGTAAGCTAGTCTCCGCCCTTAATTACCATAGCATCCAAAATACCACAGTTGGTTAGCAAATATCTGATGCTATTACATATGGACATCTATAAGAAGCAGCAAACAGCTCTAAATCATTTAATTGACAGATTGTATGTCAAGGCACACATGCCTTTGAAGTAAGATGAATGTCCAGGCAAACAAACAGCATAAGGAGTGAAGTTCTTAAGTGCAAAGCTGACTTAAACCAAGGGGGATTGTTGCAACAACTGATCACATCACTCCCTTATGATGGTAATGTCAAGGGTTTGAATCAGGCAAAAAAACATTTATGCCCAAAAGACTTCCTCCCCAACCCCTGGGGAGATTTAGTGCACTGGGATCACCTTTTGAATTTAAGAACAACTTAAACTTACCAAATAATTTCCCCAACCTTGCTGGGATTGATTGAATGACCGCTTGAAGCTTATTCTCATTCCCATACTTAATGCCAACAAGATCAGTAGTAACGTATGAAACAGACAGGTTGCTATTACAGTATTACTTCTTGCTAGAAGGTTGTAGCTGTTGATAACAGATTACCTCTCTCTGATATCAAATATTACCATCTACTTTAGGCTGTCTACGATCATGAAGACTACTAACAAATTACGGTAACACTCTCTAAAAGATACACATAAGATTCAGTGAACTGGAAAAAGAAAGCTGGAATGCTCAATAAACATACAAGAGAAAAAGAATACACCTCAGTTCATCAACAGTATGCTGCAGCTCAATAATCTCAAGTTGAGATTGCTTTATAATGTTTTCAAGGGCGCCAGCCTATAGCAAAGAATATAAAGATTTCAGCCAAGAGAGAATTCAAGTACCATGAATATGTGTAAAGTTGGTGCTAAGACACACACCAAAGTGTATATTTCATCGTCTTTGTTGTCCAAATTACCAGCATCGTTGTTTGAATCTAAAGCTGTTCCATCGCTGGTATGATTGCTAAATCTATAATGAATCCCCGCTTCTCTTAATCCGGTTTCAGTAACTCTGAAAAGCTCATTAGTTTTAGATGACAGATCAGTTGACATTCTTCTTGATAAAGCACTTCTCAGTAGAGACCCAACATGCTCTTTCTCCTTTACCAGCTGAGTAACACTTTCATTCAAACTTTTCACTTCTCGGTTTCTCTCAACAACTAAATCCCTTGTTTTTTGGTAAACAATGGAGCTCAAATCACTTATGGATTCCAACCCTGCTAAGCAAGCCCGTATATTCTCCTCAACATCTGTTTCTTGTGGGAGAAACAAGGAATCCGACAAATCTGACTGGCTTTTCTTATCATCATCCAGTATCTTGATAACACTAAAAATCTGTTCATGCAGTTTTGAAACATGAGCCAATTGGTCAGCCAGCAATGGCCTTTGCGAATCAATTCTCAATTCTAAATTCTTCAACTTTGCACCAGAATCACTCACTAAATCTTGCATTCCTAACAACTCTGTTTCCAATTTCGAAATCTTTCCATCTTTTTCAGTTATGGACTTCTCCAAACCCTCAATAATAGAATCCCTCTTTGAGACCTCCTCTCTAAGTCCACTAATGGAAGCTTCAAGGTGAGATACTTCAATGGCGATCTCATAATTCCTCTGATCCATTTGCTGCCTGGCTTCATTCCTCGACTTCGTTACGGATTCAATCTGTCTATGAAGTTCCTCAACAATCTCATTCGACCTCTTGATGACTCCATAAGCAACAGCAGGCAATCCGGTATACTTTTGAGACCTAGGAAATCCTCCGGCCATGAAGTTCTTGTAGTTACTCACTTTACCTGATATTTTATCAATTCCGGTAACTAACATTTGTGCCGCAGTTTCAATCTCCGACCTGGACGAATCCTTCGCCTTCACCGACTCCTCTAATTGCTGAACTAAATCATCTTTCTGCTTCAACATTTCATCTTTCTCCTTAACAGCTTCAGCCAACTGCGCCGATAACCTCTCATTACACCTAGAAACCTCGTCTCTCTGGCGAGAAATCTCTTCGCGTTTCTTGATCGCTTCGTGTGCGAGAACTTTCAATCGGTTAAACGAACCTTGCAATTCGGATTTCGAATTCTCCAACGCCTCACGAGCTTTTCGTTCACGATCAAGCTCCGCAACCACCTCTCGAAATCTCTCAATCGACACATCCTCTGTTGACGAAGAAGTTCCATCGAACACAGTATCCGGAGGATTATCTTCTTCTTCCACGTCACTCAACACGGCATCGGTATCTTCTTCACCGGCGGCCATTGTTGGGAAATTTGAGGAGAAATCAACTCACAACAACCGATTAATGACAAAAGCTTCCATTAGGAAAATAAATAATCAAACTACGAGTAGGCCTACCTGAAGGATATCAAACTTGAATGCAAATTGGATGATGAATTGAGGATGAATGGAATCAAAGATGATGATGATGATGATGGTTGTTAGGGTTTAAGTGGAAATATTGGGAAACTTGAGATTCGGGTACCCAAGGAACAACAGAACATTGCAGTTGCTCCAAAGCTAGAACGGTCTATTTTTCGATTTATCTTAAACCAGTGATTGATACCATGTGCGTTGCATAGTGACAATAATCTTTTTTTAAAATTATTGAAGTTAGCTAAATGAATCAATGATTATATTTATATATCAAATTAATAAGAATCAATATTACCTTTGATATATGAATCCATCTTATCATTATTGGTTGTTCTTTTAATATAGAGAAGCGATCAAATGAAAACTACTCCAATTTGTAAAAACCGTAAAAACTGCTCTCATTCATCGATTTCATTGTTTAATCTTATGAAAATTTTTCATGAAATTGTTTCATATAATACTTTTTTTTATGAAGTTGTTTTATATATGGTTATGAAATTGTTTTATATATTACTTAATGAAATTTTAATGAAACTGTTTCATGTATTTCTCTAAAACTAAAATAATGAAGATGATAATATCCATGATTAACAACCTCCACAATAAAAATGATTAATCAACCTCTCATAATTACAAAAAAATGAACAAAATGAAAAAATATGATTGGTGGAATAAAGTTTTTACGGTTTTTACAAATTGAGTGGTTTTTATTTGATCGCTCCCCATATATATATATATATATATATATGTATAATTAATTAATTAATAAGTCTTATATATCAATCTTTTATTATATCAAACTTTGTAATTGATTCAAAATCATAAAAAAAATATGTGAAAATATTTATTATAATCATATGATGTGTATTATGAGAATTRTTTTGTCATGATGCATATATTCTCTTAAAATATTTTTATTCACCAAATAAACATTGTGTTGTTACCTACTTTGATATAATTGTTGAATATTTTTGCAATTTGCTTACATTAGTGATAACTAGAAGTGTACTCGCGCAATGCAGCGAGATGCATCATGATTTTAATATTT